TTACAAGAGGAAAAATCCTGTTCATGCCTATCCTATTCTCGATATTGGGTCAAGTGCCACATTTTAAAAATCCTCTTTCATTTGATTTGAGATGTTTAATATCAACTGTAAACAGCACAAAAATATTTCTTGATATTTCTCACCAGTATTCATAATGTTTTGTTACTGAAGAAAAAAATCATGGCTACATGAAAATATGTGTAGCAACAGTCACAAGGCAAAGCATTTTTCAAGATGTCTGTTTAGTGGGAATTATTTTATAGCTTGTTAAAGCAGAAAAGATCTCAGCTGGTTGTTGAGTCAGATAATAAAATGCAAGGCTAAGGAAGCCTTCGCGTTAGACATGCTTGTCATATATATCGCCCCCTTTATACCTGCCAGAAAACTAGAGGGGGTGGGGTGGTGGATTTCTTCTGGAATGACTCAATCTTATTTCTGTGTGTATGTGTGTGTGTTTGTGACTATATGTAAAAATGTCTCTCAATAATATTTTTAATTTCCCATTCAGTGAATGTTTGAGGTTTGGTTAATAGTAAGCTTTTTCATGCTCCACTTCACCTACACTTGCATACTTCCTGTGTGACAAATTCAGCAGTTTCCTCTAAGTAAAGCACAACTTCCTGTACCCAAAGGGAGATGTGTAGTTACCTGATGAAAGGAGCATAAAAACATATTTGCTAAATCAAAAGTACTCACTCTCTATGCTGTCTGGTTTGACAGCAAACTGGAAGGTGATCTCTGCTCCATCTGTCACATTCCCAATCTCTCTGACCAGCTTGTGGGCAGATTCATCTTCATATGGGAAGTAGCTGAGTTGAAGACAGTCACACAGGAAGGGAGAGGTAAGGTAAAAGAGGTGAGGTGACCAAAGGTAAAAATTTGGTGAGGTGAGCCTTCAGAATTTTAGAGGAGCAGTTATGCTGAAATGCAATTCACTGCTATGGCCAGAGGTGGCACTGTACAGCATACTTACATGCCCTCTGCTGACAACAGTGTAGCTTTGACGCTGGTAGCCAGAATGTTGTCGGCCAGGACAGACTGGATTTCCATTGACACAGTGCTGATATTTACAATGTTGACCTTAACAGAGTGGCAGAGGGGGGAGGGAGGAGAGGTCACTCACACATGAATGGTCGCATGTCACCATGGGCAAATCAAACCTTTAATCTCATTTCATTAAATGAAATTGTCCTTTACATTTCACAAGCTGGCAAGGTCATGATTTTGCATGTAAACACCCATGGAAAGATGAATATGCTGAGAAGCAAAAAATAAATAAACAAATGAAAAAGAAAATAATTATCTCTGCCACAAAAACAAGAGAAAGTCAAATTTCATGATGTTGGTGGCTTTACAACTTTAGTTTTCCAAAAAAAAAAAAAAAAAAAAAGCATAAACATTATCTCAAGGTACTGCAACCCATATGTAAATCACCTTCTGAAATCTGAAATCTTCCCACGAAATGTACATTGTGTGTATGCCCAATTTATAAATAATCTTGATCTTGGTTTTATATCCCTAATTGTTCACTCTGTATGCATAAATGAGTTTTAAGTGTAGTAATCAAAATTTTCCCTCATGTAGCCATATCTGGGACAAATAAGGAGGTTTTGCCTCTATAATTCAAGGGGAAATCAAAAAAATCTCTGAGGACTACAAGCCTGCATAATAAGATGAAAATTTCAAGCCCGGAAAACAGAAACAATAATCATTGGCAGAAATAAACAATTCAGTCATAGGAAAACATGCAAATAAATGGGACAAATAGACTGCAACATTCCATCAAGATCACAAGAAAATGTTCCCATGCACATTTTGAACTTTTCCTGAGTAAGGAATATTATGTGTTGTTTGATCATACACATGAAATGAAAATGTGCCCTAATGCACAGATGAGGACTGACTCTTTACATACTCACTGTTGAAAAAGAGATGCTGATTATTATTCTAAAAATAAACACATATCTATCAACTACTTGTATTAGCACATTCTATGAAAAGTGACATTCCTGACTGGCAGCTGAAAGAAACACTAAGCAAACACATTTTAATCTTCTTGTCTTCAGTCCAGATCTTATGGGTATTTTCCATGGATCTGTACAGTACAAATGAAATGTATCTGTGAAAACTGAAACAGATTAAATGTACTGTATGTAGGAGAGCAAAGGTGAGCAGCATGAAGTTCCTCTACTGGTGCATGTCAAGATTCTCACATACTTTAGTAAATATTTTTGCTTGCGATGATTGCACGTATAATCTGTGTGTATAATACATTGTGTAACTATGTACAAGTCTTGAATCCAAGCCAAAAGAAGTTAAATTTGATATTCTTGTATCTTTTGCCTGTTTGATGAGGGCAAGAGGTGAAGGTAAGTTTGTTTACAGTCGGTGCTGGGGTAGGGTGGGGCATGTGTGTACCAGCAGTGACTAAACGATGCGTGCCCAACCCAGAAAAACAAAACAAGGGCTTGTGCTTTGCATAATGCTGGTAGTGCTCCTATGGTTCACACACAGCAATACACTCTGCAAATAATGCTTATATACTTACTTACTAATCTGAGAGCAGCAGGCAAACAAAACACACAAATGTTTCGACAAGCAGCCTTCTTTAGTGTGTGGTAAAGAGTTTTTCAGACGCAACTTGCTGTAAGTATAGCACAGGTGTTAATCATGAGAGCTAATAATTCGTTGAGCTAATCACAAGTTAATGATAATTTTCTTAGTGCTGCTAAGGTCAGCACAAGGCTGAAGCTGACAGTATTCAAGGAGATCAGGATGTCAGATCAGGTCTGATATGGCTGCTGACTGGGTTAAAATGCTAACTGCTTCTCAGCACTTTTCTGTGCCAAAAGTGCACTAGTAGGAAAATTGAGTATAACTTTTTTTTTTTTTTTTTTACAAATTCAAACATGCTATTCACACAAACTGTAGCCATGCATAAATGTGTTGGTTGATTATATTATATAAATTGCACTTTAAATTGCCCAGGATTTCAGTGAATGTGATCCAGAACACGATGGAGTTGTGGTCATTAGGCTGTGAACAACTTTATGTTTCAGGTTCTCAAGTACCCATTTTCTTCTCCTGTAAGAACTGTCAGAGGGAGTTACATATTTCCATTGAGCTTCTGCTCACTTCAGTACCAGTGAACAACTGAACTGACTTCAAATCAGCCAGGTACAATTCCACTGGGCTTTGAGCCTGAAGCCCTACCTTTGCAGGCCAAGAATCATTACGTTTTTAAATCTGTACAAGGCAACACAGTGCTATCTTAATTTCTAACAGTGCATTTTCCATTGAGTTGCAATGCAACTGTTCAGAACATACACAGCAGTTGCTCCAGGTGAAGCTTGAACTCACAACCTTGGCATCGTTCTGCAGTGAACTTATATACGTACCACACCCTAACTGATTGTGCCACCAGAGCTATGAAAGTTCAGAGGTAAAATTCCGTTAGAGACCACTCTAAATTACAAATTCATTCAACCCAGGTCATAGTCTGGGTTCATTTAAGTGGACATCTGAAACTTTGGGTTTTTTGAAGAGACATTGTGATGGGTGTTCTGAGATTTTCTGGATCAGATGCATACCAAATAGACTTTGTTATAAAATGAAGTGGATTTTAATTCAGTTCCTGCCAACTTCAATACTAATGCAATGCTGAATCCATGTCCATCAGCTGCAATAACAGAACAGCGCTTGATGGATTCCGGATAATTCAGCTACAGTACCAAGACTAAACTGATTCAAGATCAGCCACCTACAATAGCAGCACAGCAGCATACTGTAACCACATAATGTCAAATACAATGCCAGAACACCACTGATTCCAAATCAGTCACCTGTGATACCCACACAGCACTGCCAAAATTACAGCTCATTCAGTGACTGTACCAGGATCAGTGATGCATGTTGCTACTCACTTTTCCCCCTGTGTGGTCAGCCAGTCTTCCCACCTCAGCCAGGCGGCAATCCGTGCCCTCAAAAGTCAGCACAGACACTATCACCCTAACAACAAAAACATAAACAATGACAGAGGGGACAAGCAGAGAATGATAAATAGGAGATTTGTGCTGGTGTGGTGTGGGTAACAGTAACTTGCGTGAATGAAAGAAATAACTCTTTACACAGGAATGCATTCAAAAGCATGACAAGCATTATATTTTTAACGTTAAACTAAAGATGTGTTTTTGAACATTGCAGATACAATTCAATTTACCCAACAAGACACCAGTTCCCCACAGAAATGTTGGTTTAAGAGGTGGTGCTTGGGTCTCACCCGCTATCGGCTGCCTCCTTGGCCAGCTGGCTGTAGAAGTAGGGGGAGTAGGTGGAGGTCTGGACCGGGCTTTGCTCCAGCTCACCCAGTCCTATGTTGGCCCGGCCATCAGTGCAGATGATCACCTGTAACCAGAGGACCCATACACTGTGGATAACATTCACACTCTATACCTGCTAAACTGGTGGTATGAGGCACCAGGCATGCTCAAGCTAAATGCTGACCTTTGATCCTGTGTATCGAGAGGCCATTGCTATAGAGACAAGCGCCGCTGGACCCAGTGCTGTAGCTCCATGTTCACGAAGTCTGTGGGAAAAGTGAAAGAGAAAAAGAGGGAAAGAGTCTGTGACCTTGCGAGTTTGCTGTAGATGAAACATGTATATACTTCTATTGCATTTGTAAAACATCTGCTTTATAAATCTGGAACAACTTAATCAGTATACAGCAAGACTGGTTTAATTGAAATGTACTCTCTTAGGCAAACCTTTTGCCTTATAGTGCAATAATAAAATGGAAACATTTCTTTATCTGACTGATTGTTTTCCTGCCCTAGAATGTGAAAAGTCTGCCATAAACTGATAAATCATCCTTTGCACATTGATATCTAACTGATGTGGGTTTCTGCATCTTTGTGTTCTCACGCTGAGCACAGATGTTTCAGTCAGCCCTGTCTGGTACACAAGACAGTAACAGAAGAACAATGCTTCAAAAAGAGGTACAAGGCACCGTGGCTTAACTGGTCTAAAGCAACTGTCTTGTACACAGTAGATCCTGGGTTAAAATCCCAGCAGTGCCTCACCTTCTGAACTGTCCTTCAATCTACTTGTTAATTCAAATAAAGCTGAGGGGAAAACATAAATTCTTGAAAATGTTGTCTGGTCCTGGCGAGGCTCAAACTTGCATAGGTCTGCAATATGGTCATATTAGTACCCTACTCTAACCAAGTGATCAAGTTATCATTGGATTTAATGAGGAAAATCTGCAAGATATGCTGATTCACAAGATTCCTAAGCAAACCCTGTCTGGTATTTTTCCGCAAATAATTAAAGACATTTCTAGGAGCTGAGAAATGTGGCGTGTTCCTGGCAGTGACTAGCCATAGCTTGTGCTGTGAGGCCCACAGATGGATAAAGCACACATGTAAAACAATAGGGTCAGGAGTCAAATCTCAGCAGTGCCCTCTGAGCTGAGCTGTCCTCTGCATTACACATACACACTGCATAAAAAGCAGTGCTCCAGGAGAGGCTCAGATACATAATCTCAGCACGGCTCCACAGTGCACGGTCATACAAGCACTGCAGGACTGTGATTCTGCATCACACCTGCTCCAAAAACTTTATTGACAATATAGAACAATTCTCTAGAAGATCTGATAAGGAAGGGCTCTACAACAGTTAGTTGAAGAGAGAAAGGGGAAGTGAGTTATGTTTAGGTATATTTTATTGCATAATATTAGACAATATCAATTACTCATTTTTTGATGTGCTTGCATTGTTAAATAACTGCACCTCCCTACTTGAAAAGGCATCCACTAAACCATAAAAAAAGTAAAGTAAAATGAAATCCACAACCTACTGTTACTCTTATCTGCCCCGGCAGGGAGACAGGCAGACAGACAGACAGGCAGTCAGGTGGACAGACAGGCAGGTGCTCAGACAGACTCACTCTTTCACTCTCTGGGTGAGCGCATGGATGGACTCTGCGATGCAGTGGGGGGTAGAGTACTTCTCTCCCTGGGTCTTCAGGTAGTCATAGTCCATCAGTGACCAGTCCCTCAAAGAGAGGGGGACTCCTGTTCCATCTCCATAAACCGTCACCTGAGGTGCACACACACACACACACACACACACACACACACACACACACACACACACACACACACACACACACACACACACACACACACACACACACACACACACACACACACTGTTAATCTAAAAATCACCATTTCCTGATCAAAAAGGTAAATTCTGGAAAATCACAGTGCTCTTTTTGGGAAAGAAGGCATGTCAGCTTTCCTAGATAATGTGGCAGCAATACATCCTTTGAATCCTGACCTCATAATTTAATCTTAGAAATCTTAGCAGCTTTTTCCTGACATCATAGATACTCCTTAGAGGCTTCCACTTCTCTTTTACTATAAAGGGTTTCAAAGGCAGGGGTGCACAGGAGGGTACATGCGTAGATACAGTATATGCCCACATAAATGTTAGAGGAAGAACAGTGTACTGTATTATGCTTCTTGTTACTCTTAATGCATGTGGGCTATGAAGTTACAGTATGCCTACCACATTAGAAAGTGCATTCACTTCCTCAGTTACCAGTACACCACTGCAAAAATGTTTATTGAAGGGTTATTAAAGTGAGATTCCTTTCATTATTTTTTGGACTAAAAGTTTGGCCCTCAGTCTGAGCCACTCAAACCCACAGGGAGGCAAAACAGAATGAGACAAATATTTGCCCTAAATGGAACCAAAAGTAGGTCATACAAAAGGTGCTGAATAATAACAACAGCCTCCAACTGGAATGCAAGAATTCCATGATAGCAATAACTCAAAAAATGCTGTACAATTAAAGAATATGGGTTAAAGATCAAAGACCAGACTGGGGAAACCTGTTTTTACTGACATGAACTCCGTGAACTGACATGATGTTTTGGGTAGGACTGGAGCGGTGTGCTGACTGGGTCAATTTTAAGAGTGTGTTATGTGTTGGGCCTCTGGGTTTGGATTACAATCGTTTGCATAGTGGTACAATACAGCCACAAGTTCCACTTCAGGGCACTTAATAAGACGTGATACAGTACATTCAGTGTGACTGATAAATACATATTTGCTGGTATTGCTTGTGGTCTCAAAATAACAACAATAAAACTTCACACCAAGTCAGAGGATGTTATTTCGAGTGTTCCTGTGTACGTGCATCTGTGCATGCTTGTTTGCCTGTGGGCTTTCATGTGTGGGTGAATGTTGGAGAGGGATGATTGTATAAATGGTTCAGTTTATATGAGACAGTTGCATATTTTTGTGTGTCCATGCAGGTGTGTTTGCGTGTTTGTATGTAAGTATGTGTGCATGCATGAGAGGGAATTATACATGTGTGAGTATGTGTGTCTATGTATGTGAAACATGTGCATATGTATGCATAAATGTGAGTACAGTGTGTGTGTGTGTATAAATTTGACCTCAGTACGTTTCATGCATTTACCTCATCATTAAAGGTAACCAGAGCTACCCTGCGCTGAGGGGATGTCTGCAGCAGTGAGGACAGTGACCTCTGAAGGGCGTCCTGGACACTCTGTGTGCAGTCAGAGGGAAGAACAGAGCCACTAGGTTTGGACAGTTCCTGAATGGCACCACAAACGTCTTTCAAAATAACACACACACACACACACACACACACACACACACACACACACACACACACACACACACACACACACACACACGCACGGGTACCAAAACAGTAGGGCCGCACACACATACATACACACATATGCACGCACAGATACACACCTGCAGTCTGGACACATAGGTTGGAGACCGCATGCTGCTTCCAGCAGTGACCTGAAAAAGGAGGTCAGAGCAGACAAGTACTGAGTAACTCACTCTTATTCACACTACAAACAATACTGCCATATAGTAGCTCTTACTCCCATTTGACCTCATACTTAGCTCATCCAGAACTGAACCTGTTGCCTTGGGGCTGTTGATATAAAATGTGCCAGCTCCACCACAGCTAAATTCTCATTCATTCCTAGGGCCATTGAAGCTAAAAATGGGCTAATCCTTCATCCCCTTGGAATTTGTTTTTTACATTTTGCCTATTTTGCATGCACATTTATTGAATTTTGCTTTTGCATACAGACGAATAGAGCACATAGAGAAAGAGAGGGTGAGGACATTGCCATCCCCTTCAGTATAAGCACTGCTGAGATTTTTTCAGACAGACTGGGGGACAGTAGGACATGAGGAGTGGGGCAGACAGACAGTGACCTCAGAGGTGACGCTCATGCTGCCTGAGATGTCCACGCAGAAGACCACCAGCATGTCCTCGAGGTTGACGTAATCTCCATCAGCGTCCTCGCTCAGGTAGAGTACGTCCCGCCCGGGGAGGGGCCTCCGAAGGCTTGCCTTCAGTCCCGCCTCCGACAGGCTGTTCTCCCTCCCACAGAACTCACAGCACCACACCTGCACAGAGATAGGGTACATCATCAGCAAAGACCCTGTATCACACCTGCACAGAGATAGGGTACATCATCGACAAAGACCCTGTATAACACCTGCACAGAGATAGGCTACATCATCAACAAAGACCCTGTATAACACCTGCACAGAGATAGGGTACATCATCAACAAAGACTCTGTATCACACCTGCACAGAGATAGGGTACATCATCAACAAAGACCCTGTATAACACCTGCACAGAGATAGGGTACATCATCAACAAAGACTCTGTATCACACCTGCACAGAGATAGGCTACATCATCAACAAAGACTCTGTATAACACCTGCACAGAGATAGGGTACATCATCAACAAAGACTCTGTATCACACCTGCACAGAGATAGGGTACATCATCAACAAAGACTCTGTATCACACCTGCACAGAGATAGGCTACATCATCAACAAAGACTCTGTATAACACCTGCACAGACAGAGCGTATCTTCAACCTCAGGTCATTTTAAATGTCCAAACACTTAAAATTTGATATCTCTTTTAAAGGTACAACAGTTTTCATTTTATCAAACAGTGTTTAGTTTTATTTTATTATTTGAATATTTTTCTGTAAGTATTTTTGCCTTACTTTTGTAGTTAGTTTTATCTGTATATCTTGTCTTCATCTGTTTGTCTTTTTGGAAACCAGTTTGACTGCACTGAAAGAAAAGCACTGGTGCTATCTTCCCATATTATTAATTATGCCTTGAATAATTTCCAGCTCCTTCAGTGTAAGATGGATCTATATGCTCACATGATATGGGAACACTACAATCACTGAGTGTATAGGCTCAGCAGAGCGGTAATGAAGAAGCAGAGATTGCTCTGTGGTAACAGCACTGACCGTTCTGATGAGATGGTTTTGGAGGGAGCTCAGAGCTGACATGGCACCATGACATTTCTCACAGTACACTGGCCTCTGAGTGGACTGGAAACAAGATGCTGAAATGTAGCAGCGAGAGAGGAGTGTGAGAGAAAGAGATGGAGGAAGAGAGATAGGGAGAGGGAGGAAATGAAGGACAGAGAGGAGCAATGGAGAGATATTGCCTCAAACATGGAGATAAATGGATAGTTAGGCACCAATATTCTTTCTTGCCAAGAGCTGTTATGAGCTTTCAAGATTTTATTACCAAATTTTTGTCATTTTTATTAAGATTTTTTGAACATGTTTAAATGTTTTATTAACTTGCATTCATCTCTAATCAGTTTTTTAATGTTCCCATGGTAGGCTCTGTTGTCACAGTCCAAATTATCTTGGTGCAATGATAAAATAAAGAGTACACTGAATGCTTGTAAAACCCAGAACTGTGTGATATCCATTTGAGGTCAATGTTAGCTTTATAGCAGTTTGGACTGCAGCCATACAACTATCACATTCTACCTGTGTTAAATTCATGCCACATCATTTCCACATCATTTTAAATGAACACAGCAGCAATTAATCAAGATAGTGATCTCTATTGCATTGTGAAATGCATTTTTAAAAGCCTCCATTAAATTTTTCTTTACTTTTTACACTTACTTAAAATTAGATTTCAAATGAAAATCCACACTGCAGCTGAAACAGGATAG